AGTTCAAAGCATTCTAATCAAACAAATGTAGATTCTTTCCCGCCATAATAATACCACTTAGCTTTGCCTTCAACTACCAGATCAACGCCACTAAGATTTAATAAAGATAAAATTAAAGACTCAGATCTGATAAAATTCATGAATTTCAAGCTGTCAAACTCTAATCTACAAAATAAGGGAGAGAGAAATCAGATCTATTCAAACTGTCAAGTATTAAAGTATGTTTAAACAAGGTAGATGAATAAACATCAAATCTATTTAAACTCAAATTAAACATCCTATTGTTAACCAAAGAAAACAATCAAACCACAAAAACTATGAAACCCATGAAAAGAATAGAAGAGAAAGGGTGAAAAACTCACAAATAAGAATGAAGAGGATGAGGGGATGGTGACGGCAACAACAATAGCGACGATGATAAAAGTAAAGGATAAAAATCAGTAAAGGTAGGAGGCACGAGAAAATTGAGTGAGGACGATAATGAGGAACTATGAGCTCTGACTCTGAAAAGTGAAAACTATCGACCGATAGATAGGGTTTTAAAATGCTTATAGACTTTTTACCGCAGTTATTTTAAAAACCACAGTGAAAAGTATTTTTTATAGCGCTTTTCTTAAAAACTCCCCTTAAAAGAACTTTTCATGATGGTTTTTTAAATAACCACCATGAAAAGTAAAATTTACTTCCCTATAATTATAAAAAAGCCACCATCTTATTTTTTACAGTGTTTTTTCTGATGACCGCCACAAATTAGCATTGTGAAAGCTCTTTTTTATAGTACTGATCCTTGCAATAATTACTCATGTAAAGTGTCTCTGTCAATGGGTAGTTTCAATGCACATGATTGTATATATTTTAGGAGAGACAACATTCATTTAGCACATATACCTAATTTAACTAACTGAAGAATGAACTGTTAGTCTCCTTAGGTCTGCTTCAAAATTAACCAAATTAATATAATACAATGCACAATTTGAGCTGTATTCACTTTAGGGAGCCTCTAAGAAGATCCTAAGTAACTAAGTATGCAGAAGATAGAAAATTGACTTGGAAAGGGATTGATTTTCTTTTTAACTAACTAATTGGCAAAATTTAAAAGGATGCAAAATCAGTAAGTGATTTTTTGGATTTTTAGTTTATAAAATGGATTTGGACGGAATAAACGAAGAGAATTAACAAGCGATAACAAATAGAATAGCAATCCTATAGCACAGTGATTTAGGCTATCGTTACTTCAATTAATTTGGGAGTTAGCTAAATTCAAAAGATCCTAAGGGCAACCCCTTAGACTCGATCTAATTAGAATAATCAACACCACACCATCTTACATATTAATTACTCACAATTAAACTGTTTTAGCATAATTAGCTAAAGAGAATCAAAGAAGTGCAATTAACATTTTTAGTCCAATAATCAAGCCACCTTGAATTACTACTGAATATTCACAATAATTTCAAAACATAGTCTGACCAAGTACAATGTAAAGAAATTAAAGCTAATCATAGCATAATGTCAAATGCTAATCAAAGATCTCAACAACTACAACCAACATCAATACAAATACAAATCATCACAGCACACCCAGATATTGTAAAATTCATCCTAAGACCTAGGAATCACAAATACAATGAAAGAAGCAAAGATTAGAAGAGTCGAAACTCCCCTTTGAAGGTCCAAGTTCATGCCATAAACACTGCTCTAGAGAATTGAAGGATTTAGCTAAGCCTCTGCATCACTGAAGCTCCACCATATGCTTCAACAATCAAAGTCATAGCAAACAACACAAGGAAGATGAAAGAGACGATGATGATCATGAATGGGCTTTGGTTGATGGGAGATGAAGATTTTGGCAAGAATGAGAATGAAGGTGTGTGGTTTTTCCGTCTATTACACACCTATAGTCTTCCCCTGTCTCTCACAACATCACACTGATAATGGAACTAGTTGAAGAAGATGGTGGCAATGGCATATATGCATTGGGTTGATGGAAGGAGGGATGGATGATTTAGTGTGAATGAAGAAAATGGAGGGGTGTGTGTGTGTGATTTCTGGCGAGTCCCTTTGGTCTCTATGTCATTCACGCCATTGAGCTCCCCTAGTTCTCACTCTGTCTTCCTCATTGTCGCACTCCTCTCTGCCACCAGGAAGAAGACGTGAAGAAGAAGATGAAGGTGATGCTGAGAGAATGCCGAAAGTTGATGACTTCAATTCTTCGTTCTCACGCCGTCGAGCTCCTTTGGTCCCTCACTCTCGGTTGCCCTCTAGTTCTTCGTTCAATCTCTCTACCCAACTCCTTTGGTCCTCACACTCCCTCCTATGTTTGCTTCCACTCCAAATGAAGACGTTGATGAATCTCCATTTAGGGCAAGGAGTAAAACACACCATTTTACTACCTGTGGTCCTTTTTTTTCCTTTATTTTTTCATTTTTATTTTTAATTCTTCCAAAAACTTGCAATTAAAAATTAAAAATGAGGTAGCATTAATTGTCCTTAAAGATCAATTAATCATAGTTATGATAATTTTGCCCCTATTATGCACTAATTTAAGGTAAAGAACTTCTAATACGAATTATACTCAAATAATGCAGTTAAGAACCAATTACAATGACAAAAGTCCGCCAAAAATATATGAAAATGTATGTAAAATATGGGTTTGTTACTAACTTCTTGAATATTCATAAATTAGTTATCTAGTTTTTATATTAAGGACTAAATTTAGTACATTGATTTCTGTCTCATTTCACTGATAGGGTTACTAGTACAAAAACTGTTGTTAATACAGGTTAGTAAAGTGAGACTTGTTCTACAAACTGAAGTAATCTTGGAATCTTGTAACTTTGCTTTCATATAATTTTACTTTTTCATTCATATTTATTTACACTAACTACATCCTTAATATAAGAGCTAATTAGAGATTCAATTAGATCCTAAATATAAGACCTCAATCCACTTTATTTTTAATATTTATCCATTTTGCCCTCAAACAATCTTTACATTAATTGCACATGTTAATGTGTCTCCATCACTAGGTAGTTTTAATGCATATCAATGGGGGTATTTTAGGAGAGAAAATATCCATTTATTGCTAATACCTAATTTAACTAACTTTTTTAATGTTCGTAAATTAGTTATCTAGTTTTTATATTAATGACAGAAGGTAGTACATTGATCTCTGTTTCATTTCAATGATAGGCTTACTAGTACAAAAACTGTTGTTAACAAAGGTTACTAAAGTGAGACTTGTTCTACAAACTGAAGTAATCTTACAATCCAATCGCAAATATACAAAGTAATAATTAAATCAATCATGCTTACCTCACTTCTTAGCTTAGCTTAGCAAGCTCGAGAGGAAATGATGCCAAATCCCAAATTCAAATGCAATTTACATTATTGGAATAATTACGTATCAATAAATGGGATGATCAAGGAATAAACACTAACTTTATATGTCACTTAAAATGCTCAATTCTCTCACCTGTAACTCCCAATTTCACGTTCCCAATCTAAACTCAATCGTTTCTTAATCCAATTAACTCACTAGAAGGCTCAGTTCACCATCTAATCCTCCAATTGCACAAAATCCCCTAGTTGCATAACTTACGGTTATTGCATTTCAATTTATAGTAATAATCATTACCCAACTTAAACTCCAATTCGTTATTAAACCCTAACTCCAAATCACATAAATCATAAAAGAGAGCATATGCAGATTACCTCCGTCAATGGAAGTAATTAATCAGAGAAGTTTCATTAATTAGTTTGGAAGTTTTATAATTTATTGTGGTATAATTTAGATAAAATGTATTATATTCCAAAACATGTGGGAGACGCTTGGATCAAAAGGATTATAAATTATATATACAAATAAGCAAAAGAGCAAGTGGATGAAGTTTGGTATATGTGATTTAGTGTCGGTGGAACATATAAATGTGCTGTGGGATTAATACCTTATCAATTGATAAAAAGAATGAGAGCTTTGGGATAATTAAGGGCTCAGTCAACCACTATAAAAGAAAAATTAATTAATTCAATTGATAATTGTTATTTTTTTTTACCTGAATTAATAATTGTTATTGTAATATGGATATAAATGTCTTGCATTAAAAAAAAAAAAACTCCGCTCATTCTATTTATAGGCTACTTCCAACATATTTTATACAGAACAAGTAGAGTCTTTTTTTTTTTCAGTGGGCAGAACAAGTAAAATCTTAAACTACATTAACTCTTCTTTAAAATATAATAACTTTTCAACTTTGCCCCTATTTGATGTACACATCCTTAAAAACAAATTATTTACACTATAATAAATGAAAGACAAAACAGTATATTCATACCAAAAGTTTAATAATATAACTTATAAATAGGACCCCAAAAAAATTCTCATTGTGGCTTATAAGTAGGACAAGAAAAGTAGCAAATTAGTGATAGATTTTAACAATAAAATTTACAAACTCTGTCAAAAAAAAAAAAGTCAATAATTTATTAATCACGGAATTTTATTGCCAAATTGATCGAGGAAAAAACTTTGATGGTTAATGTGTGGATTCTTAATAGTTGATTAAGACTATCCACCTAAAACCTGGGGTACTGATAAAAAAAACAAGGGATTAACTACTGGAGTAGCTATGGAAAGGCTGAAGTGAGCCAACATAAGCTGCCACGTTACGTTACATATGCCCCGCACTTCTTTCTTTCTTTCTTTCTATTATTATTTCTTTATCTCTTGTTCTAGGAATCAATCACTGACACGTTAATATGCTTATAACTTTAGGCGGCTTAGATTAATGAAGAAGAAGACTGATGAATGAATAGTCTAAGTAAAATTTTAGTTACAGTCAATATTTGATTGGGTAACGTGGATATATTTCTTTTTGATTAAATCGGGGGGGAGAAAAAAAAGAATACTAACCAAAAGGACGGCTGCTCCCTTGGGCTATAAATAGATGGCAACCACAAATGCATTTGGTCACAAGAAACACACAATTAGAAGTTAAAGAAAGGATTTGAGAAAGATGAAAGGTTCAGTATTTATCTCACTTGTTGCCCTCTTGGCCTTGGCTTCCTCCTTTGCTTCTGCCTATGACCCCAGCCCTCTGCAAGATTTTTGTGTGGGTGTGAATGATACCAAACTTGGAGGTAAGTACACACATAATACGCATATATATTGTATCTTTCCCTATATTTCTCGTCATTGATTAGTGATATTGAATTGGTTTTGTGCAGTATTTGTAAATGGGAAATTCTGCAAAGATCCCAACCTTGTGGTAGCAAATGACTTTTTCTTCCACATAATGGAAGGCAACACATCAAATCCGCTGGGCTCTGCAGTGACTCGAGTGTCTGTAAATGAATTCCCAGGACTCAACACTCTCGGTATCTCCCTTGAACGTATCGATTATGCGCCCTATGGTTTGGATCCTCCCCACATTCACCCTCGTGCCACTGAGGTGTTGACTGTCCTCGAAGGGACTCTCATGGCAGGATTTGTGGCCTCCGATCAAAATGATAACCGTTTCTTTACCAAAGTACTCAACAAAGGAGATGTGTTTATATTTCCCTTTGCTATGGTTCACTTTCACCTCAACATCGGCCATGACAATGCCGTTGCCCTTTCTAGTTTTAGTAGCCAAAATCCAGGAGAAACTACTATTGCAAATGCTGTGTTTGGATCCAAACCTCTCATCCCTATTGACGTTCTTTCTAAGGCCTTCCATGTTAGCAAGGACCTAATTGCCTATCTTGAAAAGCAACAACAGTACGACAATAACTAAACGATCTATTTTGTAATAAAATAATAAATAAATAAATAAATATGCATGCACCTTTATGTTGTAACCTTACTTATATGATGTGCGTGCGTGCGTGCATGCATAACCAAGCCTCTTTCCTCATGTTGTAATCTCAATCATATATTTTGGCTTCTTTTTTCCCTTGTACGTTGTTCTCTTCCGATTTCATTTGGCTTCCTTCTTAAGTGCTATTCACTTCAATAACACTACTTACAGCTCTGTAAAGCGGAATGTCTTATATGTTATGACTTCATGGACAGAAAGATCGAATGAGTGAGAAAAGATGAGAGACAATAAACGAGGAAAAGACGAAAGAGACATTGATTAATTAATTAGAAAAAGTGGAAAATAAATTAAAAGTTTAAATAGGTACAACATGTAACTTATAAAAAACACGTTCTCTATCCAAAAAATTATAACTTTTGTAATAATAATAAGTGAACTCGTGTTTTGTTATTTTCTTCTCTCACAACTGCGGAATTTGGAATACTTTCTGCTTTGAAATTTTACAATTACGTTACTTTGTTGACTTGGCTAGATTGGACTGTGCTTTAATTTCCATCATTAACACGTTAGTGACTTGAACTTAACGTCTGATTAAAATAGTACAAAATATATTTAAATATATCTATATATGCATTTTTTTATGAAGGACTGAATATTATTTGTTTAAAACGAATTTATCAAAAAAGATATCAAGAGTACAGAGTATATGAAGAATTATAAAAATCGCTGTGCAGACATAGAGTAGTGTTTTCAGCTGAAAGGATAGGATTTGAAATATTTTAAGCAAACACAAGTGATTATTTTTAAAATTCTGAAATCTTTTAATGAATTATTCTTAAAAACATGTAAATAAATTAATAATTGACACGGTTCTAAAATTCTGAATCATAATAAAAAAATCACAATAAATTAAAGAATAAAGAAAAGTTAAAGGAAATGAATTTCAAAATTGGCTAATAAGCTTACTCTTTTCCTTTAAAAAGCTTAAACAGGGCTCCAAATATCTCAGAGACAATTCTTAAATACTTATGATAGGATGATTGGAAGCCTATTGAATGACGCTTATAATCATATAAATATTTAGGATTCGCTTTTTACAAGGTGCTTCACATCTCCATGCCTTTCCTTTTTAGGAGAATTACAATCAGGTCCCAATGAAGATATTTAATTACCTTAAAATCTATTGACAAATGAAGAGTAAGCGGTGACAAATTTCAGAGTAGGAAATGACAACAGGTTTAGACTGCTTGCTTGTCATTAGGACTTTTTGGTAATTAAATTTTTTTCTTGAAACCTCTTAGTAATTCTCCCTTCCTTTTTCATCTTCAGAAAAAATTACAAACTAAGTACCCCAGTCTATTATATATCCACCGTGTCTTCCCTTTGCATTTTTCATCTTCAGGAAATTTTGATTAAAGACCCCTTCTCTTCTATTATTGTCTCATGAGCTCCTCTCTCTTACCCAATATTTGGTATGAGAGAATTGGAAGAAAAATAAACGATTGGTAGGCTTTTGGCCAAGATGGCAGCTTAAGTCTAAGTCGGATCTTTCGTACAATTGCACGTTTTTATCATCCTGTTTTTAACAGCTTCTGCAGCACTTGATTCCTTTGTTTTCCCATTACCCCAGCTTCTAGGTGGATGTCTTAATCAAAACATATTCATATCACGGTATCAATTATTAATTGACTTAAATTAAATTTTTGTTGTCAATGAGTGAGCCCTTAATTAACAAGATATACCAAGGCCCTTAATTAACCCCATCCCTCATTGTTTTGTTTAAACCAACCTTCATCCACTTGTCCTGTTTTATTTGATTATAGAATTTATAATTTTTTTGTCCTTTTAAAAGCATGTTTTGTATGTTATATAATATAATATTACCTCCTGTCTTAAATACAGGAGCTATTAAAGAGTTTGTTTTGATTCTAAATATAAAATTTTAATTTATTTTATCTTTCAAATTTATAATTTTTTTTAAAATATGGCTATTTATTGTGCACATTAAAGAAACTTTCACCAAGAAGTGATTATAATGCACATGATTAGAAAATGTATTTTAGAAAACAACATACATTTGTCACAAATAAACAACTTGACTCTTAATACTCATAAATTAGTTATCTGTTACATCCCAAAAATTTTCATCTGGCAATAAAGGATCAAAAATTGGGATGAGGGTCAATGTAGGAACTAGATGGGGAGATGGAACAACTTTTGATATGAAACCCCGAAAAGGTCCGGACTGACATTTTTATAATCATCGGTCTAGGAAGGACAAAACGGAAAAATTTGAGAAAAATTTTAGAAAATCCCCAAAAAATGGGAAAAGCATAGAGTAGAGGTTTTGAAACCTCAGTTGAGGCCTGAAAGGTGGAATTACAGTGAAAATGAATTGTTATGGAATTTCCTGTAAACGGAGGTTTTTCGGGAAATTATTTGGAAAATAAAGGGAAATAATTATTTTAATTAGTTAGAGATCTCAATAAATTTGAAAATTGATGGAAAATTCATTTATATTTTTTAGAATTTATAAAATTGGTTTTAGGCCTTGAAAACTCAGGAATTAATTTTAGAGAATTTATTTTCCTGAGTAACACCAATAGAGGCCTAATCGAAGAAAATTTAAAATAAATACCTAGAAGTGGTAAAAAAAACTTTGAAAATTTATAGATCATATTCTCATATTAAAAGGTGAATTATCATGGGGAGAAATGAACTTTTGGAGGTCTGAAAAAATTATTGAATGTTACTTGTGAATAGTAACCGATAAAGTTTATAATTGGTCTGAGATAGTGATTTGGTTTGTGGGCCATCTTTTTGGACCAGCCCAAAATATTTGTGGGGCCCACATTGAGCCAAATAAGGGCCCAATTTCGTGCAGAATCTGGAGGCTTCAATTAATTAAAGAAAAATGCAAAAATTAAGAGACATTTGTATGGAAAAATCTAGTTTATGGCCACTTAATGTGATCTGAATATTTTGGATGCTTGATGACTGCCACATAACCCCCATGAGGTGTCCAATTCGCCAAACAAGGAGGAGGAAGGGCAGACCACGTTTTTCCATATATACTCCTTAGAAAATACATGAAAAATGTTGGAAAATTGGGAAAAAGAGGGGGAGACTCTGTCACTGTTCATCCAGCACCCTTGAATGAAAATTCTAAGGTGTTTTAGGCAAGGAATCATCCAACTTACTTCAAGAAAATACTAAGGTATGTCCAAGCATCAATATCCCTGAGTTTTACATTGATTAAATAAGGATTTTTGCTTGGAAAAATGCTGAAAAATTCAGTTGAGATGTGTGATGCTTAAGGAAGGATAGAAACCTTAATAATCAAGTGGAATAAGGAATATTAAGTGGTGTATGGATTGATTTTTGGAAGAAAACCAAGTTAGGGTTATGATGCATCATGTCGACCAGCACTGTTCATAGCAAAGGAGTTTGTTTTTAATTGATTTGATGATTCCAATAGCTTTAAAACATGTCTTTGTGTAGGGACATGTTGTTAAAAAGTGTTTAAAATCATTGGAATCAAAAATGAAATTTTTGGAAAATTAAGGACCCCTATTCGGTCAAACCAAGTTCATGGACAGGAGTGTGATTTTTAAAAATCTGATTGCACCATTGGATCCCTTATGAAAAATTGTGTAGGATTGAGTCATGAGATGATTGATTCTAAAGAAGGAATCAATTTGTTAAAAATCAAAGAAAAATGGGGGAAATTGTTAAGTCAATGTTAAAGTGTTGGAATCAAGCTGCTTAGTGATTAATGTAGCCTATGTTTATGCTTGGTTTAATAGGCATTGTGAGGAAGAATTAAGAAGAAGCATTGCTCCTTGGAGGAATTAATTGGACAAGCTTTACAAAGGTAGCTTTGAATTATAATTTGATTGTTTATCTTGCTTGTTTGTTGTGATTGTTGTTTCTTGGATTGGAGGAACTTTGTGGTGACCTTGATTGTTTGATCGATATTGGTTATGCTTTGGCCAAATGCTTTGTGGTATGTCAATGTGGATAATATGATGTTTCTCTCCTTGCATGATATGTGGCATGAATTCCTATGAGTTATGAATGATTTGGATTGCATGAACATGTCACAATTAAACTTGCATTGATTTACATGATAATTATAATTCATATGCTAATGAGATTTCTTAGAAATTTTATTCCTCTTATGCTATTTTATTCCCTAATAAGGAAGTGGACCAAGCATGGAGTAAGGAAAAAAATTGGCCTTGGCATGAAATGGCTTTATGAATATTATGTTATGTTAGAAACTTGTATCAAGTGTATCAAACTTTATGTTGATTTTATGATAAGTTATGGATGACATTTTGATATAAATTATATTGTTGTTCCACGTTCCAATGTTGGAATTATGCTTGAGGTTTGTGGAAGGAATGTGGTTGAAGGAAAAAAAGGAAATAAATCAAGAAAATGGTAATTAGGGGATAGAAATTTCCTAAAAAGTGCCAAACTTGTGACACATAAAATAGTAAGCAATTGTTGGAGTTTGAACATGAAATTTTACAGGAAAATAGATCTCATTTTTAGTTTTAAAAAAGTGGTAATTCATTAAATTTGGAGTTTTGTACTAAGAGTTATGCCCTTCAAAGTTGGGTAAAAATACTGAAAATTCAAAAATTTACCAAATGAATAGTACACTTTGACAGATTTCCTGGAATTATTCTGGATGGAATTGGACCAAATGATTATTTTTCCTCCACAGAAATCTTAGCAAGCTTTGTGTGAAAATTGGAACTACTTCGTTTTGATTTTTCTAGATTTAGTTATGAATTTTCAAATTTGGCCTATTTTCGGATGAACAGTATACGAACAAGATGGACAGTAAAATCTTGAATTTCAAATTTTTCATCCGGAAATGTTATGAAACAACTTGTAAGGGTTCCAATTGATGTGTAATGGTATATAAAGAGAGGTGTGACATTATCAAGCTCTCATATTAAAAATAGATGGTGGTACATTTTATCTCATAAAGTAGTGAGAACTTGTATAGAAATAATCGGCCAAAAGGAGTAACTAATTCGTGAATAATGAGGAAAACAAAGGAAAATTTTGAGTTAATTTTTGTTTAATTGGACTTAATTATTATGATTTAGAAATAATTCTTTCTTATGCA